GGTGTAAGCATCGGCTTCCTTGAAAAGTTCATTGCAACCATGACCATCGGCAAATGCGCGAATACCAAGGCAGTTTGAAGGATGAAGTTGATGTTTCATGAATTCTGAACAGGCTTCTTTAACTTCGTCAATCTGTAAGATGCAAGAAACTGAAAGGAGGTTTTCTACATTGTCCACTCGTATTTCTATGTGAGACGTATAAGCGTACTTTATCAGAGCCTCTACAGCTTGCGGGTCCATGTCCGTCAAATGCACAACATCTTTTTTATTTTCGGAAAGATCGCCGGTAAACATGGCGCTAAAATAATCACTGAAAGCGGCAAGGACAAGTCTATGCGCCTCAATTTTTTTCTCCCCGACAACTAAAACGATGTCAGAAAGTTTAGAATTTTTCCGAAAGCCATCCATTTTCTTGAAGGTCTTTAGAAGATGGTCATTGCAGGTGAAAATTATCGCATCGCTTTCTTCCTCCATTTCACGAACAATATCTTCTCCAAGGAAATTTACGTGGGTGATAAGTGCTCTCGAAGCTTTGAACCATCGTCACGTTTGTGACTTCGATGTTTGCATGCTTTTATATCCTGAGAAATGCGCGATAAAACTTCAACACTGGATGGAACGTGAAGGATCGTTAACACCAACTCACTCGCCCCAACCTACCCCGATCAAGTCTATTTTTAGCATTTCCACTCCAAGCAAGATGGCGGAATCAGACTGAAAATGTCTCTTAATCCACGCTTTATTTTCCGCGGTTTTACTCGTTTGACGACCGGAAAAAAACTGTTTTCTGTTATATTACCTAAAAGGAGCCTTTCTACAAACACTCAAAGAAACGATGCGGAAGATAAACGGGAAATTAATCGTTTATTTCAAGGAATAATTGAGGGTCATCGTGGAAGCCTGGCACAAGGTATTACACTGGTGGAAACATTACATCCAACAAAGTATCAGCAAGCGCAGCAATTGCTGTCAAAAGTTGCAAAATATTCCAAAAAAGCACCCTTGTTTACAAATGGGCAGCGTTCTTCATTCCGTATTGGTCTATCTGGTCCACCTGGAGGTGGAAAATCAACATTTATTGAGACATTTGGAAATTTCCTGACGAATAAGAACAATAAAGTTGCAGTTTTGGCCGTTGATCCATCATCTTCTACAACTGGAGGCTCATTGCTGGGGGACAAAACGCGCATGACAGAGCTATCGCGAGATCCTAACGCTTACATCAGGCCTTCACCGTCCTCTGGAACTCTGGGTAATTTGTTAATATAAAGATTAAAAACCCCTGTGCAGCACAGTGACTTTACGTTCGATTGAGAGCTATAAAATCCACTCTGTAAGAAGATTTTAAACAGACATTTTGGCAATGCTACCCTGAAGAAGGCAGTGTATGCCAAAATGTTGTTTTAAGATCTTCTTACAGCGTGGATTTTATAACTTTCAAATGAACATTAATAGTTGTTAACATTCTACCCTCTATCAAGAACCAACAATTTGCTACTCAAAGTGGTGTAAATACTACTGTCGTGCCTCTGACAGATGAAATAAAGAAAATAAGAACCAAAAAAGTCATTTTAAATCTCTTCTATCCCTCTGGCTTTGGCTTTAGACATGAAAGCCATGTGTGATGCTGTAAATCAATGAAAATCCTTTTTTTACCCACCATTCCTTCCCACCACTGCTTTGGTATACATTTTATAAAAGTAAATGCATACTTGTTTTTAGCATTAACATCATCATCATCAACCTAGTCTGCATAGCATGGCGGTTTTGTCGAGCCGGGTGCAGGAGCGGCGTAGCCGCAAAATTCGCGCGTGAAGCGTGCGAGAAGGAGCGGCGAAGCCGCGAGAAAAATAAAAACCGCCTGCCCGGATTCGTGGCCTTTTCAACTGCTGCCCCCTTCAACTCATTTTGACATCCTGTTGACAACTTGTTTGGTTTCAGTTTTCCCAGCCAATCAGAAATAAAATGTTGACAGCCTAAACACGACAGAAAAACTCGTGATAATGTAAAACGTGACCTTGGCCGGAATTAGAGTTTGCTTGAACAAACACGGGTTTTTTTCTTTGTGGCTATCTCGCGCATAGGTGACTACACTGCGTTCTAAACTTGACTGAGTAGATGTTATTTTTGCTGCACTAAGTCTTACATTTATTTAGAGGTCATGAAGTTGGTTTGTTTAATCCGTATTGAGTAATTATTTCCAGTGGTTAATGTTAGTGTTGCTAATTAGAATTTGTTGATCTCAGATGCAGTTTTAAAGTACTAATTTCTTTGACCAAGCTTTTTATTACGGCTAAATAAATATTTTGGTTTCTTTGGTCTTTTCCGACTAAAGTGCCTGGATCTGGACAACTACAAACCAAGGAGCCTTGGTTTGTAGTTTCTTTGTCCGTGAATGTTTTGACGCTGGGCCCAGCTTTTTAAGTGTTGTTCGCAGGATGTTGTATTTTTACGTATAGCGCGATCTTCATATTTGAGTTGTAGCTTAAACTTAAGCTACACCAAGCAAAAAAGTATGGAGAATTACGCTGTGCGTCTTTCTTCTACTGTATGCGATTCATCGACCACAATCGCGGACACCATTCGATGTAGTGCGCTGGAGTGCGTTATTTGGCCATAGCAAAGACAGAAAAGATCATGCTCTTGCCAAATCTTGTTGACAAAATTTCCATGACATCTCTCCTTTGAAGAAGACTGTAAATGGCCATTTCCTGTTTAGGCTTCAATACAATTGCCCTGTCTCCCGTCAAATATTCAAGATTGACGACGCTCCGGTCAATGCTTCTTTGATATTTTGATTTTGTTTTGAGGAGATGATTTGTTCAGTCCCTCGAAACTCTCCCATAGGAGATTACCAAAATATTTGATTGACAGGCGAACATTCCGAACCAATCGGAACGATCCGTACGCTGGCATAAGGACTGACTCAAAAAAGCCCCCTGTCCGTGCAGGCGGTTTTTCAAGTTGCTCCCGCCCCAATCTCCTCGCGATTTCTCTGCCCTCGCCCGCCTTTATTACTTAGCGCGCCCAACCAAAACTGCCATGCTACGCAGGCTACATCAACCAGAATCATCTTTGTCATCTTCATTATCATCATAATTTTTATCATCATCCTCATCATCATCATCATCATCATCAACAACATCATCAAAGAAAACCTTTATCTTGTGCTTCCTTTCAACTATATACCGTAAAATTCCGAAAATGAGCCCCTCCATTTATAAGCCCCTCCAAATATAAGCCCCCCAAACCGGTAACGTAAAAACCCTCCGTTAAATCGCCCCTCGAAATATAAGCCCCCTGGGGGTCTTGTACTTGGAAAATTGCCCTCAAATACAAGGTAAAACAAAGCAAAAACAGTAAATTTATTCCAGATATAAAGCTAGCCCAATCGATTTTGAAACACAAATTTCCCTCCATAGATAAGCCCCTCCGAACATAAGCCCCACCATAAATAAGCCCCTCAAAAAGGGCCTTTGAAAAATATAAGCCCCGGGGCTTATTTTCCGAATTTTACAGTACCCCAGATCCTTGAAACTCTCTGTCTCTGACATGTTACATCATGTTGTTCTAGGCCTGGCATAAGAAAGTACTAATTTCGATGATCTCAATTCTTCTCTTTAAGGTGGTGTGAATCGCAGTACAAATGAAGCCATTTTACTTTGTGAGGCAGCTGGTTATGACACCATTCTGGTTGAAACAGTTGGGGTAGGTCAATCGGAGATAGCTGTTGCACATATGGTGGACATGTTTGTCCTTTTGATTCCACCAGCTGGCGGTGATGAACTGCAAGGAATCAAGAAAGGCATTGTTGAGATGGCTGATCTTGTTTTGGTAAATAAAGCTGATGGGGAGCTTGCCATTCCAGCTCAGAGAATTCAGGCAGAGTATATCAGTGCTTTAAAACTACTGAGGAAAAAGTCACAGCACTGGAATCCAAAGGTATAATGTGCTTCTTACTTTTGCAAATACACTGCCAACTCAAGACTACTATAAATCCTGCTGTTGTTTTGTCTGAAACAATTCATTTTCAGCTCATGATTTACAGTCTTATATCTTCTCCCAACCTTCCAAATGAGTTTATCACACTGCTCATATTTACTCAGTCTTGGCATAATTATTAACAAATAAAGCATCTTACATAACGAGATGAATGAGATCATGCCCACTGCCTATTATCTCTATATATACCTCATATTTCCCTGAAGATCGAAGGGCCTCTGCTCGCAGGATTTAGTAAGTGACAAAATCCAAGACTCTGAGATTGAAAGAAGTGCACATGTAACATGAGTTTGAGACTGGTCAGATACACTTGCAAGATTTCTGAGACCCACAGTTTTGAAAACACCATTAACTAACTCTAGGCGAGCTTCAGGCTGTATGTTTTGTTTTCCAGAGGGGATCAAGTATTATGTACAAACTTGCATAATTTATTAAAAGACAAAAGACAGATTCCCTTGGGAACATTGAATGATCTGAATTGGGGAAGCAAAACATGCAATTAGTATAAAACAAAACAAAACTCGATGCAGGGCTGGCACTACAGCAAAGGGACTGATTTATTATAGGCCAATATTTCGTCTACAAAATTAGCCTTCCTCATGGCCAGAACTATACCGAGAGAAAAGATCAGACTTTTAACAGCTCTTAGTATAAAACATCTATTAGTATCAAACATCTATTGAGCGATTCTTTACTACTAAGATCTCGATGAGCATTTTTTTATAGAATACCTTTTTAATAATGTTACTCTGTTCTTGCCAGGTTCTGCGCATGTCTGCCCATACTGGTGAAGGTATAGAGAAAGCATGGGAAACAATGCAGAACTTTCATAACATCATGCTAGAAAATGGAGATCTTGAACAAAGACGTCGTGAACAACATGTAATCTGGATGTGGAATCACATCAAAGATCAAATCATGGGAAGATTCAAATCCAACCCTGATGTACAGGGAGAACTCCATTATTATGAGAAACTGGTGGCTGATGGAGTAGTGACTCCTGGAATGGCAGCTGATGTTCTCCTCAAAATATTCACTCATTCATCTTTACCTGAAAACTCTACCTATCATGATTAGGCACCTCTATTAAAATCTTGTACAGTCAAACCTTGATTATCCAGACTTCAGTTTATTGGACTCATGATTATAAAGACTATTTCTTAGCCTCGCCGCAGACGTCCTTTGGGGTTCGTTCGTCCGTGGGGGAGAAATGAATGCGTGACGAACAAACCTCAAAGGACATCTGCGGGGAGGTTAACTATTTCTCTGATCCCAAAAAAATAAATATTAGAGAGATTTATAGTCACACTTACAGCAAACGTGAATTTGTACGTTGTGACCAAGTTTTCCCTTTACTTTTCTTTTACTGTTAATTACTTCTAACACAAAAAAATATTAAAATATTATTGTCCATAGTAAATGGTAAAAGTAGCGACAAAGAACTTATGTCATTAGTATTCATGTTCTTGGACTATTTTTATTCCAGTTCTGCTGGATTCAGATAATCAAGGTTCCACTGTAACAAGTAGCCTCCTTTAAGAATTGTGTGGCAGGAGAAAGAATTGCTTTGTAGAGATTGTGTGACAGGCTGTTAATTTTCAGAGGCAGGTGCAAAACTCTAAAATAACAGATTAGTTAGAAAAAGGTCTATAAGGAGATGTTGAAAGAAAAAAAAAGGTCTAGGAAAGGAGAAACGCTCTATAATAAACACTATTTAAAGAACACTGATTTTTCCTTTTTTTTAAGAGAGAGTTTTAATAGACTGGATTTCAAATCTATGAGTTTTAACTTAAAAACAACTATAAAAATAAAGAATATGGTAATTTTTACATTTTTTTCTCCTTTACTTTGTTCTCATATCCATCTTTGCTGCACCGTAAGGATCAGTTGGTTTGCAGTTTCTACACTTATTCATTGACAGGGGTGGATCCAGAAAATTAAAAGAGGTTTGGTTAAATTCAGTTTTACTTTGGAGTTTCCATGTTATTGAAAAGCACAATAAATTAGTCCCATATAGCTACCTTCTCTTCAGCTTGTATACAGCCCCCGCTACACGCCCGCAAACCCCCTCCCCCAACACCCGCCCCCCGCCACCACACAGCCCGCCCTCTGGTACACAGGCTGCCCAATCTCTCCTCTCTGCGTCTGATGTCAGCGGTATTCCACGTTAAAACCCGCAATATTTGCCATTCCAAAAGTGATTATAATCTCACCGCCCAAGAAATTTCTGAATTGGAGTAACTCATGTGCTCTAATCATGCGTATTGTAGTCTCTTTCCGTCCTGTTAGCTAGTTTTGATCTTGCGCTTGCAAGGAGCGGAGTAATTTCCGGCCACTCCAAAGATGGAGGACATCTATTCAGCCTCTCGGGAAGGAAACCTTCGCTTCGTGAAAACATGGCTGGAAAATACCTCAAACGATCTAAATCAAGGGTAAGCTAATATGTCAACGGTTGTGGAAATTGAAAGAACTGTCAGTTGTAATCGAGCAAACTACGATTCACGGCTAACGGGTTGCAAGTGAATCATTTTATTTTAGGCACTTTACGCAACTGTTAACGCAACAGTTTACTGACCGTATGTTTTCGTGCATTCAAACGCCAGACACTTTGCATGCTGTGCCATACAGTTTTGTGAAACAACAGCTTTTTATGTTTATACTGTTAACTTGAACGTCGTGATGTGGCCGAGTCTGGCTGAGATCGCGCGCATTTTCGTGGTCTTTCATTGACAACTCGATTTTTCTTTTCTCTAGAGATGATCATGGCTTCACACCACTTCTTTGGGCTTCGAGGGAAGGGCAGACAGCTGTGTTCGATTTGCTTCTATTACGAGGAGCCAGAGTAACAGCTGTGAATGACGGAGGGGATAACGGGTTGCATTTGGCCGCGAGTAAATCAAATAAGGAAATTATACAACGGGTGAGAATGTCATGTTGAATACTACAGTGATTTAATACGAAGTTGAAGCATTCTTTTGCGAACGTAAACATTTTAAAGTAATTGGAAATAAAAGTGGTGTTTTGGGAATTAACTCGAGAACTCCTAAAGTAAACAACTGCGAACTCATCAAGCATCAGTTTTGTTAAGTGGTGTTAACAAGTTAAGGCATCCTTTGTCTTGCTGAGAAAATGCGTTCAAATTGTCCAATTACAAACGCGTAGCATACACATGCTAATTACAGTATATTTTGAAGTTAGTTGTAGTTATGAACACAGCTCTAACTTGTATTAAAAAGTTTGTTGATCGATATCTCTCTGTACATATGAAGTGAAATCTGTCCCATGGAACAACTCCCTTCTTTTCATCAGCAGTTTTCAATGTCATCATTGTTTTTAGACACAGTATAATATATATCATTGGTACTTGGATAAGAGCTGTAATCCTTTGACTCTTACAGGGAGTACAGTAGTTATTAACATGCTATTTTTTTTACCATATGATACAGCACTTACAATCTAATTGTAAGTACGTTTGAGGGAGGGCTGCTCATTATAGAGGGGTGCTTATTATAGAGGGGCACTTAATTAAGAGGGGGTAGAGGTAAAATTCATTTTCAGGTTAAAAAATGGATACTTCAAGGGCTAAAAAACAAAGGAAATTCTGAATCTGGGTAGGTTAATCCTTTCAGCCCCAACATCAAGATGCATCTTCTCCACACCGTTCATCATATGTTCTTTATGGTACTGCTTGCGAGAATTTGTTCTAACATCATAACATGTCATCTTTGGTGATCATTTAATTCATTCTCATGACCTGTATGTTTGATCAGGCAGTGTTATTTTTGGGAGAAATGGGATGTGGGTCACTATAGGGGCTTGGTTCAACCAGAGAATGGATGTTATGTACAAGATTTTCTCCTTGCCCCAGGTAAATAACATAATAACTTTGTTTCATAGCTACTGAAGCACAAGTGTCCTGTAAATGGAAGCAACACCCATGGCAATACTCCTCTGCATTATGCCTGTTTCTGGAATTCCGAGGAGTGCGCTGAGGTAATTTTTTTTTTGTCTTTGTCTTTTGTCAGATGCTTAGCACATTCTTAAGTTTACATGGCTAAAATATAGGATCAGCATAAGATTCTGATTAACATCCCAGACTACCCCTCCCCTCCCCTCCCCTAACCAAGCATTGACAATAAATAACCTCTTAAGGTTTGGTAAAACAGGCAACAATGATTTGCAATTTGTTTTGCTATGTTGCTGCAAAGTGAGTTGAATAGTGATGTTGCACATTTTACCACCCATAAATCAAACCTGTCTTACAACAAATCAGGTTGTTGCAGGTTGCAAAACATTGTCACAAAAAGTAGAGAGAGATTCTACTTTTTGCAACAAAATCTGTACATGTTGTGCATTTTACGGGCTCAAGGCAAACTTGTTTTGCAGCAAGTGATGAGAATCCTCTGTAAGGCTTGACTCCTGTGTAATTTTATCCAATCAGATGTCAGTATTCACGCAACTTGCAACAACATGATTTGTTGCCAGACAGGTTAGAATGTTGGTGGTAAAATGCACAACATAGCTTTTTAACTCATTTTGCAGCAGTGTTGCAAGTTGCTCATTTTTGTTGCCTGTTTTACCATAGCTTTACATTTGGCAAAGGAAAATGATTGATTCTTCATCTGTTTTTATGGTATTTTGTATAAATTGAACAGGAACTTGTAAAACGAGGTGCACTGGTGTCACAATGTAATAAATATGGAGAGACTCCTCTTGACAAGTGTAAACCATACCTCGCAGAGATACTGAGAGGTGAGCCAATATACAGCTGTTTCTAGAAAGGTTGTCGGAAGAAATGCGCACGTGACAATCCCGAAAGGTAATATGGGATATGATCAATACACTGTTTGTAACGACTGAAGCTGTTGAACCTACTTTTGTTGCTTTCCTGTAATACTCACAAACATATGTCCATGGCCTCCCACGCCATTCTTTCAAATTTCTTTGAAACAGGGCCCTCAAAGCCACCCACAATACCTTTCGGGATTGTCGCGAGCACTTTTTCCGACAACCTTTCTCAAAATAGCTGTATAAAAAGGAGGTAGCATTTTTGAGCTGTAACAGCGTCAATCTTAAAACCAGGGGACAAATGACCACCATCAAGAATTACCAATAATTTATAACAACACTACATTATTTATTTCTAGTGCTGCTTTATTGTCAATTTTATTAATCTTCTGAGCCAAGCTCCTCATGCTGTATGAGGGATGATTAGTGTAAGTACAAGTTAGTTACCATGACAACTATTTGTTTACTTGGAACACACTGTTTCTTTACTTGGTCTGTTTACTTGGTACAGATAAACCAGGACTACTAACGCTAACCAGGCAGCAAGCAACTTGACCCAAATTAATATTCAACCTTTTGTGAATGATTTGAATATGATGCGGTCATGTCTCTAACTATGCTACTTGCTTCGTTCAGACCTTGCTGCTCAGCTTGGACAAGATCTTAAAAGAATACCATTTAAAGGTAAATCAATCTTTCATATGAATTCCTGTATACAGTCAGCTCTTGCCTTGCAGACACCCCGCTATAACGGACACCCCGATAATACAGACAGCAGCTAAACCCCAGGTGAAAATTAATTACAGACATTTGACTGAAATAAACTCAGGACTGCTATTACGCACTCTTGCAAATGAGGACACTAACTTGAGGTCCCTACAGTTTTCATTACAAAGAGAGTTGACTGTATATGTTACTATGTCTGAAGAGACAGTCTGGTCAATAGACCAATAATATTATTTCAATAGTATATTAAGGTTCTACTTGGTTCTGAGGCTTAGGGAAATAAAACAAGAGAAATCATCTTGAATTCTTTTGTTTAAGCCTCATCGTCAATTAAGAATTTGAATGTATTGAAACTGGTCTTTTAAAATCCAAACTTTATAAAGCTTAACTACCATTGAAAGACTGTGTAGCATTCCTCATTATCCCTCGAGGGCATTAAACATGCTACAATGTGCCAGTGCTTGGATACCTTCTCAATTTCCCTCTGCCCTTGACCCACATCACACATATATGGCCACTCAAATGAGGTGACAATCTTTGAATCTTCTTGACTTGATTTTAACACATACTTGGTTAATACGGTACCGAAGGGGGCCCTCTTGTATGATTCAAACCCATAATCAAATTAAAACATGTGCCAATGGTAGAGTGTCTAATGTAAACCTAATCTAATCTCATTCAAATAATGGTGCCACAACATTTCTTCTTTAAATTTTTAGATTATCGCTCAAAGACTGGCAAAAAAGATGGTAGGTGCTTTTGAGTGTTTATTCATTTATCTGTTACTTTGCTTGTAAATATTGTCATTCATGAAAGTGGCTTATACATTCCATCCAGTTTCTTTTAAACCTTCTGGTTAATGATTGTTTTGTGTACGTATTATTTTCTTTTACACTTGCACAGATTTGCGAGATATTAAGTCAAGACATTCATGGATTCAACCATCGGAGATTGATTTGACAAACAAGATTGGCAAAACTGTTACTGGAGAGGTAAGGCATTTTCTTCCCTCACTCAGCCAGGGGAATGATGAAGTTAGTAACCCCAGAGGGCCAAATATAAAATTTGCCGGTGCCATTAAGCCCTGTGGTAGTTCTATAGTATTCTCTTGTTATGTCTGATTTCAGGTCATTCTCCATGTTCTCTGTTTAGATTATTGGTTGCAATATTTATATGTGTTTGTTCTGTTTCAGGTTTGGAAGGGAAAGTGGAACGATATACATATCATAGGCAAAAAACTTGCTATAAAAATAGTAAACAAAAGAATCTCCAGAGATTTTAGTGAAGAATATTCCAAGTTAAGGTAATAACTTAATTTCCTTTAAGTTCTGTTTTAATAGACTGCCTATTCATCTAAAAGAACATATTGAAATGATAATATCATTATTTTTCCTTTCAGAATATTTTCTCATCCTAATGTTCTTCCTGTGATTGGTGCTGTAAATGATTCCAAGAACTTAGTAGTGTTATCGCAGTATCTACCATTTGGTTCACTTTATAACGTCCTACATGAAGGAACAGGTGGGTAAAATTAATATAATTCTACACTAAACATCTTTTTATTTGGGTATCTTGTTTGCTATCATATTTCATTACTGTACTATAATAGACAGTGGTATTTCTGCCCACCTAGGGGTACACATGAGTTCTAGAAATTTCAGTAAATACTGAGGTCCGTCATAATTATTTTATGGTATGGTACTTTTGGCAGGTATTATTGTGGATCAACAACAGGGAATGAAGTTTGCTGTAGACATCGCAAGGGGAATGGAGTATTTGCATTCTTTAGAACAGTTGATCCCAAGACTATACCTGAAAAGTACACACATCATGGTGAGTACTTGTAGTGACACATGGGATTAGCCTATCAATCAGATTGACAGTCTACAAGTTACTCATGTCTGGCAAAATATTCGCCTGAGAAAACAGCCAACATTTTCACAATGCAACTTCTGGTTTCCCCATGAAGTGACAATCTGGTTAGTGCTTCCGATTGGCTGAAGCAAATTTCCCACGTAGCATGACCAATCAGAAGAACTACCCAGATTTGGGTAGCAGTGCGTCATCAGTATATGGAATTTCTGCACTTGTTTCTCACACGTCATTTTGCAGGGAAACCAGTGGTGGTGTCTTGAAATGTCGGCTGTTTTCTCAGGCTAACAAATTATGTGAGGGGCTTTGTTTCAAAAGAAATTGTGGTATTGTGTTGGTGGGGGAGTAAAACACTAAAGGTTGGTTTTATCAATCTGATCGATGAGCCAGTGATACATTGAAATTACTGGTACCATTGTAGTATCAAGAAGATTCAATACTGATGTTTCAGGCACTAGCCCATCCTGTATTTATTCTGATGATGGGCTAGCACTCACAATACCAGCTTTGAATCTTTTTATGTCCAGACATTCCTAGTGAAGACTGTCGAAACTGGGTATAAGAATATTGCGACGTGTCAAAGCGCCATGCTTCATTTTTTGAAGAAAGACAAGAAGATACAGAGTTTCAGTTCTCTTGTTTCACTTGTGTTTGCTATTTTAACTGTTATTTCAGATTGATGATGATCTTACAGCAAGAATCAGCATGGCAGATTATAGATTTTCTTTTATGAACCTCAGCAAAATAGAAAGTCCAAACTGGATGGCTCCTGAGGGTGATTATTAAATTTTTTAAATTATTTTACTCAATTTTAAGAACAGTGTTAAAAGGTTAGAGGTTGATTACAATAAATATTCATGAAATTTCATTTAGTGTCTGAGGCAGGGGGGAGGGGGGTGACATGCCAAGCTATTGTTTGTTGGGCTCCTTCTGTAGGTACCGTGCCACAGATACACACAACAAAAGAAACAATACAGGCAAACAATTAAGCCCCCAAAAGAGCTCTATTGTTTGGTGCCTTGGTTTCTTTTGTGATGATGGTACCTGCAGAAAGACCTGGTTGTTGACTTGATTGCATGGTGATTTGAAGTGAACCAGGTCATGTGGCTATGAAATAACCGATCTGGTTTTAAAATACAAGATAATAAAAAAGTGTTAAGGTGGTATTTGTCCATTTTTCCTTTGCCTGGTTACCAGTAAGTGAATTTTTAGTTCTGATATCACAATTTTCAAGTTGATTTAGACAGTTTTCCAAATAAGATATGTCTACAATAACAATGCCAGTTTACAGAATACCTTGTAACACATATAAGCTAATCTAATTATCCTTTGTTTTCAGTTTTACAAAAAAGCCCAGAAGAAGTGGACCAGCGGTCTGCCGATATGTGGAGTTATGCTATGATCCTCTGGGAGCTTGTGACAAGAGAAGTTCCGTTTGGAAACCTGTCACCTATGGAAGTTGGCATGAAGGTTGGTGGAGCCATTTATCTCTGAGAGTGATGAGAATCAAGATTCTTATTGTGTCAATGTCAATGCTTAGGCAGTCAGTATGTCATAAGAATCTAGGACATGATCAAGCACAATAAGTTTGTTTAAGTTTTCCCCTCTACGTCTGTTAGACACATAGTACTATTATTTGAGCAATAATGGAGAATTGATAATCAGGATTAAAGGTTTAAATAACTCTTTGAAGGGCCTGTTACATGGAGGTGTGAGACCCCAGGTAGGTGAGGTAACCCGCCTGTTCATATAATCTCTCATATGGTCACCCCACCTATCATGTGACATGACCAAATGAAAATGAGATACCGTAAAATTCCGAAAATAAGCCCCTCCAAATATAAGCCCCCCAAACCTCGTAACACAAAAACCCTCCGTTAAATCGCCCCTCTAAATATAAGCCCCCGGGGGGCTTGTACTTGGAAACTGCCCTGAAATACAAAGTAAAACAAAGCAAAACAGTAAATTTCCTTCCAACCATACGGCTAGCCCAATCGATCTTAAAACACAAATTTCCTTCCGTAGATAAGCCCCACCAAATATAAGCCCCTCCAAAAATAAGCCCCTCAAAAAGGGGCTTTGAAAAAAAAAAGCCCAGGGGCTTGTTTTTGGAATTTTACAGTATCATATGGACAGGCAGGTTACCACACCTAACTGGGTTAACTGGGGTCCGGCCCACCTCCCCGTAAACAGGTCCTAAAACTATCATTAAAGAAATTTAGAATCACACTGAAAAACTTCAAAAACGCCAGATTAAGGTTGACAATTTCTCAAGCCAACAAAAACTGTCCAAAGTAATTCTTATGGATAAAACCAGTGCAGTTTGTGTAGAACTAATGACTAGTTTTTGAAGGGATAACTTGGTCACATGGTACAAATTAAGGTTTGCCATTTGCCAAAACATTTGTTCTCCCTCTATTGCCAAGCATCTATTTTTGAATCCCTCTGTGGTAATAATCAATTTTATTGACCTAAGTTTTGTCTTTTATTTTTCCATTTGTCTCCTCAGGTTGCTCTAGAAGGCTTGAGACCTTCTGTTCCTCCTGGTGCCTCTACACAAATGTCAAAACTAGTGAAGATCTGCTGGAATAATGACCCAACCAAAAGACCAAGATTTGATCAAATTCTTCCAATTCTCAGCAAGATGGCTCAATAAAAATTTACACAGCTATAAGAAAAATATATAAAATTATTACAGATAGTCACCTCCTCCCCCTGAAAAACTTGATGTGTACAGCTGAAAGAGTCATCTAAAATGCAGCTCCACCCAAAGTATTCTTAAAATACCCCAAACAAGTGAGTCTTCTTGCACGTTTAAGAAAAACATGCATGGTTAGTCACCTTGAGCAACCCTTTAAATATCAAGTGCCTTTTTCTTAACACATTTTATAAAGAATAAATATTTTCGTAGGTTATGATATAGAAATTAATCACTTCCAACAACAGTCAACCATTGAAAATAAAATTGGGACATGAAACTTGAATGAACTATATCCTGCTTGTAAACATATCGACAGAGAAGCAGCTGTACCAAGCTAATAATTAATGTGAACTTCCTCGCACATAGTATTTGAAACTCTACTAGGGCATTGGTAGTCTCCCAGCCAGCCATTTTTGTCTTGTCATTCTTGGAAAGGGGCGTTGAGTGACAAGAGAGTTGTAGTTTTTATACCGCAGTACTTTAATATCAGACAATGATTTAAACCTACTGCCAAGTGTTAGGAAAACCACAAAAATAATTATAGTGTTTTGGTCTAATATACAGTTTTGTAAAGAAAAATAAATCACTACAACTTTTAAACCATGTGAAATTTTGTTAGGTTTCTACAGTGAATAATTGTTATAATGATGATGATGATGATGATGATGATGATGATGGTGGTGGTGGTGGTGGTGGCGATGATGATGATGATAAAAATGATGATAATTAATAATTTCTAAAATGGTGACGAACGACACGAAGATGGGTGGAAACTGTGTCGGCTCCTTTTAAAAATTTGTCCGAAGCGTCCAAATTTTGTCGGCTTCTTTGAAGAAAAAATCCGAACCCCGCACCCCCCGCCTCCCATTCGAAAACCTGCCATCCTTAGAGGGGTGCGAATGAGAAATGGAACGTTCCACAGGGCCATCACTTCCTCCGAGAAACGACTTGTTTTAAAGTTACGAGCCCCGTTCTAAGAGGGCCTCAAAAGTTGTTGCGTGCAGACAGCTTTTTGGGGAGACTTTACTTACATACATACTTTACATAATACTTAATTTCAGTGGGTTTCGACAGAGGCAGCCATAGGCTATCGCCAATAATATGGCATTTTCTTCTTGTGTACAGTTTTCCCTGTAAAAATTAATAACGTGTGGTTTTACCGGTTGAGGGACAAAGGAAGGGTTAAAATTTTTTTACAACCTTATGCAAAATATGAAAGACAAAGGATAGAGCTTTACTCACTTTGGTTTATGCAGAGAAATGAATTTTTTAATCTGCTTTTGAGGTGAATTTCTTTCCTGGTAGGCATCAAGTAACCGGAAGTACGAAACCAAAAAGGCAACCCCAGAAATCCTTGCGCCATTAGGTACACTGTTGAAAAGCAATATGGCGTCTGAAAAGAACTGCAACAGGGAAGAAGCTACTTCTTCAACAAGCATAGCTACAAAGGGTGAACATTCAGGCGCTCCAAGCGTCATAAATACCTTTGCTAATGATGGTAGTTTTCTAGAACTTTTCAAAAAAAGGATGGAGGAGGAATCAAAGAAATCGAAAGCGAGTGAAAAATCAGTCTCCGAAGACAACGTCGAAAAGAAAGTCAAAGAAGACCTCGAACAGAACCAAACCGAGGGAAAAGTTCCTGGATCCACGAAAATGTTAGCACAGCAGGTCTGGTTTAGTGCAAAAAAGAATGCTTATATTTTCCCTTTCGCTGGGAAAGATTGAACGTGTAGTCTGACAAAAAATAGTTCACAGGTTTCATATTTCATTCTTATAAACTTGTCGACGTCCTGAATTCTTTCAGCTTTTGAATTTTCAGTATAAACACACACTTATGGTATTGTTCAAGGAGAAAGAGAAAGCATAAGATTTTTCTACACAGCCCCATACATTTGTTTAATATGAGTGTAGCAATCTCATACAATTTCACACAAACAGTTTATATAAAATATGAACAGTCAAAACATGTATGCCTAGCAAAATAATGCATGGGGCTGTGTTTCTTACCAAGTTGAAAACCTTAAGACTTCTTTTTGTCAAAAAATCAATCCTGATATTTGATGTGAAACTAAGATGAAAATGAAAATCAGAAATTGACGTATCAAAGTACCTAAAACTTTGAAAAAACGAAAGAACTTTGTTTACTATTGTTCATTACTGTGCTTTTCAATAACACGCAAACCCTGAAATTTAAAAGCCAGCTGACATTTGCATCTTACTCCACTCTCAATGGTAATTACAATCCCACAAGCAATGAACCTTGAAACACAAATACACAAAACAGATTGAAATCTGCAAACCATGACCTTTTGACCTTGTTCAAGTCAACGTCCATTTCCTAAGAGGTCTGCTAAGATGATTGACAGCAGTGAAGAATATTGAATTTCAGATTTTGCGTGTTTTTGAAAAGCGTAGTAAATTGACTGTCTTATCTGAACTTCATGTACATGGTGGTCATTGAGGAATACAGGTCAGGAGGAGTTATCAACATCCTAATAGCATGATCTTATCTTATGGTGTTAGTATTAATCCAAAAAATGTAGGGAAAGAGGACATTTGCAGTTGGAAAGATGGGTGGAGCTTCTAGGCAGATGCATGCAAAGAAAAAGAAACAAGAGAAAGAAGCAGCCGAGGCAGCCAAAAAAGCTGAGGAAGAGGTAAAAGTGAAATTCAAAAAGAATCTTAAGTGGCCTAAAATGTACCTCAGTTATTAGAAAATAAATATCCTGCTAGGACCCAGAATCCTTACTTTGAGTCACCTGAGTGCAAGCCAATTTTTAGCAGCTCTCACACATTTTCTCTTACATAATTGTCGCCCAATCTCGACCACAAGTTACAGTTATATTGTATGTGACTGAGTATCCTTTGGATGCCCAGTTTTGAGAGGAAAAGCAATTTTTTTGCAGCTTGATTTTAGATTACTGACTTGAGAGTTTGGGTGGATTCTTGGATAAACCCTGTCCCCTGGGGGGTTCTCCTGGGAATTCTTGGTGGGGGTGTGCCGCCCAATTTCCTCACCCGATTTCAGACCAAAAAATGTACTTTTCCGCAACCGTTTTCAGACCTGGCCTTAAGGCAGAAATTATGTCATCATCACTTAGATTAGAGCACAAACAAACAAATTCTTCAAACCATTTTGAATTCACTTATTTCTCTTTCTTTCTTACTCATTTGGAATTGAAACAATAAATATGTTCATACTTTCCCATAGTTCCCCCGAAAACCACACCCGATTCCAGACCTAAATGGGCAAAGTGTATATCCGTTTTCAGACCAAAACGGCGCAAAAACCCTACTCGATGGGGCGGCACATACCTATACAGCTTATACAAGGGAGTACCCCCCCCCCTCAGCCCTGTCCTCCTTGCCTTCTGCCCTCTTATTACACACTAACTTAGTGCATGCTAAGTTTTCTACTGACTAGAGCATTTTCATTAGTAGAAGCTAGCAACCATTACTTAGGCTTGGAAGTTTGGGTCATTCCTCATTTAATGTTTAGCTGTATTTTGATGGTCTCTTTTTCTCACAACTAGGCTGTGAGCAAGTCATCAGCATGGAAAGCTTACATGGATGAAGTTCAAAAATACAAGGAAATGAGTTGCTCAGATGACAGTGACAGAGTACGGCCTCTTGTGAAATAACCCTCAATGACACTTTAGGACAATAAACTTTAGACCAATTCACCATTGTCTTATTGCCCATATAACACCTTATTCCCCACCCCCTCAAAATATTGGACAAGCGTTGTCTTCAGTTTCTTTTCAGGACAATATTGTAATACCCAGGAGAAATTGGAAACAATGTTTATGCAAAGTTTTTTTGGGGGGGTGAACAAGGTGTTTTATGGGCAACATGAAAAGGGTGAATGCTGTTTTTTGGAAATAATAGTATGTAAATAATCACAGCTGTCTTGCATGATGCTTTGTTCCACAGTTTCAGTGACATGTCTCTCTCCTTCACAGAGTCCTTTTTGTGTTATATAGAGGCTTGTGAGAGGGAAAAAAGAAAGCTTGTGGTGCTATTTTTATTGGAATACCCACCCAGTGAAAACCTCTGTGAGGAGAGAGGTGACATGCCAAAACAAGCATTAAAACTGTTCATTGCTGAATGCTATATCATGTATTGCCTCACTTGACTGCAAAACAGTTCGTATTTTTGCATATTCAAGTAGTCTCCCAAACAGTGAAGCAGAAGGTCTGGAGTGAGGCTGAAAACAGAGAGCGAGACTGGGGAGAGTCACTAAAAATATGTTTCCTTTTTCTCTCTTTGTAAGGCTTGCGCACTTCACGCATTTGAGACTTCTTATGCCAAACTGATTTTGAGAAAAAAGCCGTTTGTTTTGCAGTCTATTGCGTGACTTATTCATCCATTATTTTCCTGTAATGAAAAGTTCCCACACAGAAAGCCACATTGGCCATAACAAGTTTGTGTCCAATCTAAGGCAGAAAGTTTAGAATTTAGAGGGTAACACAGACTGAGCCTTTAATATGAAAATCATTGTTTTTTTGTTTAAGTTTTCTAAGTTGGTTTGTACACTGATATAAGCCGAAAATGTAATACTTTGCAATACTGGTATTTTTGGAAGTTTGTAATTCTGATGTTCATTTGTAAATAAACCTTTCTGCTAGATTAGCTAAATAAATGTGATCTGCTTGTTTCAGGAAATTCTCTTTTATAAAGTATTTTTTCAACAATTCTTTACAGTTAAAGACAAGAAGGGTTTGTGGAACTTCATTTGCATAATCAGGAAATGTCGAGTCACCAATAGTAAACAATCACTATTCAAATTCATTATGATAAATGCAGCCATAGCACTGGAATAACACAGCATCAGTAAAATATACTCTGACTGCACTTTTGTTTTTTGATTGTAACACTGATTCAACAGCAGTTACATTGGCAATGTTGCCAAGCTCTGTATGGTGTAAGGAGACTGTCCAGTAATTTTAAGGGCAGAGGTGAGCTACCACCAAGAAAACTGGGAGCCACTTGGACCTTATTCTAGGATGAATCAAGGCTTCTAAGCTGTTCTTTATGGTGCTTAAAATTAGCAGTACTAAAGATAAAGTTAATCACTGTTTACGTGACTGCCATTTAACGTGGTCATCCTGGCCATGCAAAGGTCTACCTTTTTACAGGGCAAAGGCAGAACCTACATTTCTCAGTTCTTTAACACCCTGAGTATTGGTCTGGTTCCAGGAATCAAACCCATGACCTCCCTCTCTGCAGTCAAGTTCTCGGCCAACTGAGCTAGTCTTTTAATGCTATCAGTTATATTTCTTAAGGCATATAATTGATTGTTATATCTCAAAATAAACATGAAAAATTTCACCTCAGCAAGAACTGTTTAATTTTATTTCGGTATTTATTCATTAGCAAGTCAGACAAAATGGCCATCATCTGTTTGTGCTATTTTGGAAGTCAGGGGGTAAAGGAATTTCAAGACTTGCTGTTTTAGAAGAAGGAGTGCTGTCCTTTTCATCGTCAAGTTTTCGTTTCCTTTGTCCTTTTGATGATCTTACAACACAGCCTATCGCTTTCATGTGAGCTGTTAATCTGCCAATCAAAAGAAATTCCTATTAACAGTGCACTGAGTCTACAAAATGCAAACATATGATACATGAAGCCTGTGTAGTGGGCAGTTTGTTTAGTGAGATGGGAAAAAAAATGCAAAAACACATGTTTCCACCCCATTTCTCTCACTGCTCATGCCCTTCAAGGATTTTGCCTGAAATCAGGTGACTAACTGTACGTGGAATGCTGAGGCTCATTGAGGGAGCAGGCTTTCGCCAGGGGTTCTGAGAGCAATAAATAACATTGTGGATGCCAAAACTTTTTACCTTTCTCCTTGAGGGTATATTGGTTTGAACCTCTGAACCCTCTCAAAATTCAATAATATTATAATTAGCTTCACAATTTCCTTTACAAATTTGACTTTCAAGTCACCCTTGCCTTGCTCTCTCCTCTAAAGAGCCTCTCAAGGGCTGTCACCAAGATTTCAAGTTGCCGGGTAAATACAGCAAGCAGGCGGGGAATCAAACAGGTAGGGGTTTCTTATAGTTCTATTTTTCTTGTATTTTCCCATGAAAGTAGCCGGGGGCCACGTTCTACTAGCCGGGGAAAATCTCTACCCGGCCCCACATGACAGCCCTGGGCTCTCACTGGGTATTCCATTAAAAATAGAATAACAAAACAATAGTAAGCACATGGTGGATGGTGGGAGGAGAGAAATGGCTTTCTTCTTTCCATTGTTCCCTGGCGCTTTCCTTTTTCCCTCTCCTCCCAGCCTACCTACGACACAAAGAGGCCCACTCTGCAGAGGAGGGATCTCCCTTAGAACTGCCATCAACACTCCATAGTGGGGTTTATGATGGGATATTTTCTAGTTCCATTCAGTTTCAAAGTACTCAACTGTGCAAATCTTTGCAAAAGAGTTGAATTTTAAAGTACCCTTTCAACAGTGTGTTCAAATTGTCAAAACACAGGACGTGTTGACATGCAAGCTTATTTTCCGTGCTTTCAGATTACCCAGAGTTGGTTTCATACCTTGAATCAGACATGCCAAGATCTTTCATGATCACACTGCACTCTAATGTATACTCATCAATCATCAATGCTAGCACTAATATGTAAGACACAAGTTTATCCTTGAGTCTTTTTGGAATTGCTCTGCAAAAGTAAATTTAAAAAAATTCATTTCATCGTGTAAATAAGGTTTGTGCTCACAAAAAAAATGCTTCAGCACAGAGTGTCAAAAGTTGCAATTTTCTATCTAACTGCGAATGGAGAGAGCTCATGTACTGATTCAGATAACGTTGACTTGTTAATTATTACTCCTACCTAAATTTTCCTTTCTGCAGTGAAAACATGGACAAGAGTTTCTTCTGTATAATGTCAGGCATTCCATACAGAGGATCTATAAAATGAGAAAAAATGACCCAGGCTCATGAGGTTGCAGTCAACTTTTTTTGGCTGCAAACGCAGTACACTAATCTTTGGGTCTCCTGTGGTTGCTTGGGTGTCCTGTTGCTATTTAGGGATTTCAATCTCAATTCTTGTTGGTAACAATGATTTTCAGCAGAAATGGTCAGCAGTGACATCGTAACTTGTTTTCAAACACTCTGATTGCCTCATTCTAAATTTTGCCTGTTTTACACATTGGAGACCTCTAGATTCTAAGATGAGAAAGACTATCTCAGAAGAAAATTTGTTAGAATTTAAAATGCCAAAAAGCTAAATCAAAGTTAAATCATGTCCTAGTGGTCCTCCTTGTCCTTGACTCTAAAGGTCTCTGCTATGGCACACGCAAACAGTCTCAAATTATTGGTATGACTGTAAACTGGCCACTAAAGACCCAATCACAAGGAACTCAGGATTGTATGACTATGTGTATTGTTCGGTCCAAAGCATTCACCTTTTTTCTTCAGATCCTGATAGTTCAAGCCATATAATGTTATCATGTATGATAAATATAAGAGGCAACATGACTGGTGGAGACGCTGTGAAGGATTGACAGACATGACTTCTAAATGCCGCAAAATATACTCTGGGAACCTACACGTTAACATAAAAAGGCAAAAGTAAATATCATTTCAAAAGAAGGTTGAGGATGATCTTCTGGGTGAACGTAGTTTGGAATAGGACTGTTGTTGTTGACAGTGACTGACATTTCGACAACCTGTGCAGTAGTCATCTTCAGAGTCAAAGTATTCATCACGTCAGTAATTGATGTTATTAAATGCTGGTTATTGACCTGACTAGTCATACAATTAAGTCGCAATGTTATTAGTTGTCTGTCAGTTAAGCCAAGATGTTACAGTAAATAGTATGATGTAAATATCATTGCTATAAAATATTACATTATACATCTTTGGCACAAAAAATTTCCCAGGCTGCATTAGCTGCAAATATGCACTTTGTACCTTCTTTGATTTCTCCATACGTTTATTGTATCTCTCTCTGCATTTTTAAGTTCCAGTGACTTTTTCTGCAAAACTTCATATTCCAAAGGAGTTATAACTTCAATAAGTCAAGGGACGTTGACAAGTTTACTACAGAAAGTTGTGTTGATCTCAACATAAAATGCTATAAATATTTTGCTGAAATGAAACAAAGATCTGGTGCTAGAATTGTGTTGATGAATAAAGAGAAAGTTCACACACACTCTAAAGCACTGTTATCTAAGTTACATCATTCCATGGACAATATCTGGGCTAACCTAACCACATAGCTAACCATATAGTCTAGGGTAAATTTTCATGATTACACACAACAACTTGGGATTCCCAACAAACATTTACCATGTATTCCAGACAGTAAAAGCAACTTAAAAAGTCAAAGCCACTAATGTTCTCTAAAGAAAATGAATACTAGAGAATACGACTATAACAAACATTTTGTACATAATTTGAAATTTGAAAAGGATACTATCATCTAGTTTGTAGACATCAGCAGGAGTTGCCGCACTAGCATCAAATGGAGGAATGGATGAGTACTGTTCTTCCACGCCATCTGCAATCAGTGAAAAATGGATAAAATCAGGGGCAACAGAAAATATAAAAATCACCCCAGGTATAAAGGGGAGCCGGAATCTAGAATGCGAGAAAATTTTCTTATGGAAACCATAATCCTAGGCTTTGGAAGCTGTAATCATCAGCTCAAGGAATCCAAAATCCAGTACCTGGATCCAGAATCCATGGCATAGAATCCAGAATGCAAGACAGTCTAGGATTTCCTAGCATGGGGTGATAAAAAGCTATGAGAAAGAATCTATGTATGCCGCACAAGAGAATGTCTGACACATTTTGCTATAAATATACTACCAAAAAGATGACATTTCAGCATGACCATGCTCATTTAAACACTTCAAACTGAGTCAAGTACCCAATTAAAATTATTGCATTTATCATCTAGAAACTGTATTAATCTGGAAAATCAAGATTAAGACCTGCTTTATCCATTGGTTCATTTGCCAGAGCCTGTACGACTTCAGTCACTGTGTCATCCAGCCCTGTATTGTCAATTTTATTTCGCAGTCGAGATGCCATGGCTCTTTTCTTTTTACTGCTTCCAAACGCTTCTGTGAGAAGATCATTCTACAAAATAGTAGTGAGCAGATTATTACTGAAAGACAAAAATACCTTTTGAATTTCAGGTAAGAAACACTAGCTTAGAGACACATGTTTTGGAGGTTAAAAAAGTGGTACATTTATCAATAAAAATGAGCGAAAAGATTTTAACACAACATTTTGATGTCACCATAACATTATCATCAAGTGACAAGATAAAAAAACGAAAATCTGACATAATGTTACATATACAGGTTAAAGTGACAAAACAAGCTAGAGAACAAAAGTGACATCAGGTAAGAGTGTTTTTTGTAACATAATGTTTTATAATAGATCCATGATGACAAAAATAACTACAAAAAGTTATTGACATTTTGAATATGATATTAAGACGAGTTAAATTCATATCTTTTTATCCTTTTGAATCACTGTTTATTTACCTTTTCAATGTAAGAGAGTTCCATCTTATTGTCTTGTTCTCCTTCTGTGTGGTTTAACTCATTATCAACTGCACCAATGAAAACAATATCAAGGAGACACAAATATGCATGAGTATGCATATGCCCATATAACATAAAAAGCATTTTCCTGCTACAAAAAATTTACAGGAAAAAAATCATAAAAAGAGCCTTTTTTTGCTAGCCTGTGAACAGGCTCTCGGTCCTTTTTGGGGAAAAAAATAGCGTGAACAGGCTCTCGGTTCTTTTTGGGGTAAAAAAATAGCGAAGGGAAAGGAAAGGGGGGGGGAGAGCCCTTTTCACTTTTCCCTCTCCCCAGTTCCCCGCTCGACCAAAGGCCTGTTCACAGACTATTTTTTGCCACCAAAAGATGCAAGTATCTACAAGTTGGAAAATTCCAGATACATTGGAATATTTTCTTTCATCCAGTTTTCTAGTAATTACAATAATAATGAATGCTAGAAAAAGTGATTTCTAGAGTACGTTGCCTATATTCTTATTCCCAAACATGTATAAATTATGTTACAGGTCAAAATTAAATTCAGGTTAAAATATTTTAACCTGGGTCGATTCTCAATTTTCTTTGTCTTCTAGCCCTAATTATTCATGAATTAGGACTAGAAGACATTAAGGAGATTAAGAATCAACCTTGGTGAAAAAATTTTAACCTGAATTCAATTTTGACTGGTAAAATAAATTCAAAACATGCCAATTTCCCATTGATGAACCTCCCCCTCTATTTTTGGGTACATATATTCAGCGACTCAAAATCACTATGATACAATAATGTCGTTTACTTGTTCTATCGTACCCCCTTTACTAGGTGCAGAACTACCAAGAGAGGATGGGCCAAGCAGGACTTAGGTCCTGTACAAGGTAGAGCCCCTACCCATCACAGATAGACAACTGGAGTGATCCCATGCAAATTAGGAGCAGGTAAAATGAGACTGAAACGATTAAAGTTAGGGTTCAAGTTAAAAAGACCTATACATTCAACTCTCTCTTAACCAGGGCTTCTGATAGGTCGCAGAAAGAAAAGTTAAATGTTGCGGGATTTTCAGGACAAATTCGTGGAAAAATCTGCCGATTTCACAGAATTTTTGCAGGAATTTTCAGGAGCAAACTTTGCCAAAAAACTATCGGTAAAAAACAGCCAATTTCATGGGAATTTTCTCCACAAATTTTGTTAGAAATCGATAAGTTAGACATCTCTTTAAGACAGACAGTCAGGGCTGGTCCCGAAGATGTCTCTCTTAGAGAGAGTTGACTGAGGTCACACCCCTCACACCTACAAATCAAACCCTCTGATAGTTTACCTAGAACTTTAGGCTGTAGTGTAATCATCTCAGTGTCATACATCTTCATGACCTCTGTTCTTGAATTGTAAACCCCAAGGACATATCTACAAATCAAACAAACCCTCTGTTTATAAAACAAACATTACATATACAGGTAGATATTGTTCATCTCAAAAAAAAGAAAAGGTGACATTTCTTCTAAGAAGGATCACTACACTGAACACTTATCTTCTCTAACAGGATAAAAATAAAGAAAGAAAATAAGAAATCTATAAAAATAACCTCATTCATTTGTAATAGTACTCACTTGCACAATGTGTTAGATCTAGCAGATTCTCCAAAGTTTTGACCAACATACTCCATTTTGTCTGTCTCAGCAATCTAAAAAACAATGCTAATAGTGAGCAGAGTTTCTGGACAAAGGGGGCCTTTTTAGTTTTTTTTTTAGCTGAAACAACTTAGCTATAAAACTGAAATTTCCGGAGGGGTTTCAGGGAAGTTTTTTTTTCTCTTGAACAGAACAGGAAAACAACAAACGTGATGAGAATAATGATGATGATGATGATGATGATGAACAATAACGATGACTAAGACAATGACGATGACAATAACAAAGACAAAGATGAAGATGATGACAACAATAATGATGATGACGCTGACTATGATGATGATGATGATGATGACAATGATGATGATAATGAGAGTGATGATGCTGATCATTGTTAGAAGCTTATATGCAAGAGCTTCCTTGTGTAGCTCGTCCCTATTTTTAGCAAAATGAGATGAGAAATGACAACTGAAAGAAAACAAAAATTTCCAAGACCTTACACAAATAGTAAAGAATCAAAAAGGAAAACAATACCACACACACATTTCACTTGCTTCCACTCACCAGAGTTCTTCTCTTCTTCTTCTTTTCATCAGTATGGTCGGCCCATCGATAACAGGCAAATTTGATTTTTTTGTTATCTTTCTTGCCAGATCTCAAGTTTGCATTTGTGAAATGTACTGCATAAAATAATTAGAATGGTCAACCGAAATCTATCTATCTATCTATTGTCTATGGAACAAGTGGCACAAATTAGCACGTTTTATACAAAAGCAAAAAGAAAGCACAAAATTCAACCCACTATTTTTTGACAAAATTGTATCGAAAGGTTGCTCACAAATATTAAAGTCTAACCTATTAAAGGCTTGACACCACACGAAGAAGAATCACTCTGAACGTATTCCAGTCTTGCAGTCGCCATCTTGGATGTTTCTGCACATGAGGTTTGGTCGATTTCTTACCTACAATTTGATTGGTCACTCTCGCTTATTTTAGCCAATCAGAAACTTGTCTTTTATATGTCATCAACCGCGGTCTGATTGCGGGCGTTTTTCAATTTTTTTTCCGGTCTGGGATTTGTTTATCGTGTATGAAGCTTGTGTTTATAATTTATTGTATTCCGATGTAAGCCGCAAAACACAGGTTACCTTGTGAATTTGGCATGAATTATTGATATTCTGGATAAAGATACCTTCGGCTGTTTCACACTTTTTCGCAAAATGTGGCGACTGAACTATAGAAATTGAACGCACAGGACATGTCGATTGAGATTCAAACGACATCTGCGGTCGATGACGATTTTCTGGAGCTGAAAAGTCGTCTTGAGGTTAGTTTAGCAATAGAATTGTTTGAATCTATTGTATAATTAATTTTATATTATCATTTCAGAAGAAGAAATCTCGGTCAGTTCTTAAAGCTGAATCTCGTGTTTTCGGGTTAATTCGGACACAAAGTTATCTTGTCAAATTTTTGTAGGATTTGTCAAATATCTTAGAAACAGGAAACTTAATTAACCTGAAGTTGTTCATCATATCATTTTGTTTCTTTTTTCTTTCATTTCCTTGCAGCCACTTTTTGATGCAGAACCTTTAAAGGTATGCAAATAACTTATTTTTATCTTATGCTTTATTCCCCGAATTATTTTCAAAATAAGATATTGCATCTAGATTACTGCTATCGCACTAAAGTACCTTAATATTATTATGTTACCTGTTGTCATTTCTTTAGTTCATTCGCATAATATTGACCAAGAACAAAAACTTTTAAAAAAAATTAATCTCCCATTGCAAATCCAAATTCTAGAAAACATGGTAAAATATTGTATGTAGTTCCATAAAACGCAGCTTTTGACTGACATTTAGCTATAAATTTTATTCTCTTTATGGCAGATAATTTAAGAATTGATTTTAAAAGCGACATTAGGTTGGAAATGGACTAAGTCAGAAATTATGTTTACAAATATGTTTCTTTTGTGCAGTTTACAATGGACTTTGTAAATTTGGTAATAGCTGAATATGAATCACTGTTTGTCACTTCAATAAAAAACCCAATGGAATAGTTTTTCATGCAGTAATTAAAAAATATTGTTATAGTAATTCTGCCTTCAATTGGCACACCTAAATAATGGTCAGAGTAAAAAATTCACTTTTAAGTTATAAAAAGATGGCTGTTTTAAAAGAAATGGTTGTCTTGCAACCTCGTTCCCAGGGCTTTTACCCTTAGATCCCACCCCTACCACTTTCCACTGTAACTGTACTCTTAAGATCTACATTTACCATTTTAGGAGGGGTTGCATGAGTGGGGAGGGGTTAGCCTGTGAGCAAGCTCTCTAGGCGCTCTGGCGGCATGGTGGGAAAAGGAGGGAGACCTTGCAACTACGTCTCTGGAATTTGAATATCTGCATCAAAAAAGTCCATGCGAAATGTTGATTAGTGGAGATGACATTAGTAATGACATCATTACCCTTGGTACGTGTTTTTCAATGTTTGTTTACATTCGCGCTCATTTCTGCTTTGTGCTGATTGGTGGAAATCTGACAGCTCAGTCAATGGGGAGCCACAGGGGAATTGGAGGTGGAATTCAAATTCCAGAGAGGTAGTTTCAAGCTCTCCTTCCTTTTCCTGACCTCAGAGAGCTTGGTCGCAGGCTTAGTAGGGAGGGGTAAGCATGCTGGAAATGGGGCTTATCAAGAAGGGGAGCTGTATAGGTTGTGTGGGGGTATGTAATTTAACAAAACATAGTGCTCATAGCAAAGAGCAGCAAAGAACATAGAGACACTGCATGGTACAGTTAAACTCTGTTTTAACAACCCCCACTGATACTACCCTTTCATTATAATTTATAGAAATTAGCTCAGCACTAACTTTAAAAAATGCAGCCATGTTCATTTTTTAAAACCTAGGTTATTTGCATGACCCAGTAGGTACTCCAGTTCCTGTTGTGGATGATGGAAATGACTGTCTGACAAAGTGTTTTGAGTGAAATCATATTATTAAAATAGTTATATACTTCAATCAAATGTCAAGCATTAACCAGTATATTAATATTGTAGTCTTTTGGTTTATTAGTCTGACCGTAAAAACTTTGATAACACAGGAGGTAGTGCTAAGTTTAATTGAGTGAGGGAAATGCATACAAAACAGATATATTATTTTATCTATAGGCTCAGAGTGATGCCTGCCTGAGGCGCTTTTTAAGGGCTTTTCAGGATGTTGATGAGGCATACAGTGCACTGATCAAGTACGTTGACTGGAGAGAGGAATATGGAGTAAACTGTCTGAGTAGAGGTGATGATGACATTGAAGAACAACTGGCCTTAGGAAAAGCAGAAGTGCTGGACTTTCCAGACCACAGGGGAAGGTCAGATTTGAACCACAACATAAATTTGTGATATATTTTAAGTTCAAAAGTGGGATTTTTGCATAAGGAAAAAAACCAATTCCCAATAAAAGTAACACAGATTTTTTTTTAATATGCTTACTTAGGCCTGTTGTCCTAGTGACTGTCAGAAATCATGATGCAAGAAGCAGAGATCTGAATGTACTCACCAAGTTTATTATTTACATCCTGGTAAGTGCCACACAAGTTAAAGATATAAAAATAATAATGGAGATTCTATGGTGAACAACTTAACTATTTGAGTACATGTTGTTGCTAAACTTATCACATACATTTAAACTTTTAGGAGGAAGCAACTAGAAAGTGTAACGAGGATGTTATTGACAACCTTTGCATTACGTTTGATTTAAAGGTATGAGGATTTAAACTAGGCATCGTAACTGTGATGTACTCACAGTATTTGTCTTTTTTGGAAGTCAGAGATAAGCATGTAGATAACCAAAACAACAGCATCATTTTTTAAATCTAAAGTTAATATAAACCTTTTTTATCTTGTTCTTCGAAAGTACATTATTTGGAGTATAACGCTAAATTGTTTTGTGTTTCCAGAGAAGGTTCAATCCTTCAACAAATACCTGGGGGTGGGGGAGGCAGGGGGTGAACTCCACCAATCTCACTTCTCTTAGGTCTTTCCCAGGCACCCAAATGTCAAGTGACCTATGGAACTGAATTGGTCCAATTTTAACCTTGAGTCTTCATTCCTTCCCAGGGATTTTCATTAAGCAACATGGATTATGGTTTTGTGAAGCAGTTAATTTGGCTGCTCTCCAGAAGATATCCAGAGAGACTTGGAAAATGCCTGATAGTAAATTCTCCATTTATTTTTACTGGCTGTTGGGCCCTCATCAGACTGTGGTAAGTTTCAAGATCACGCTTCAGCCTCTTATGCAGACATTCATTCAGTCTAAAAAGTCATCTGTGTTGTTTAACCATGACAAAAGATAGATTGAAATGCACCAATCACTTTTGGAGTCTTCATAAACAATACTGACAGAAGACCTATAAAGTCAGAACATAATTGACCAATCAGGTCAATAACCAGAGTGTAATACTGTCAAGATACATGTTTATAAGCCCTCTTTTCCACTATTGTACTGGCTAATTATAAAAGGCAAAAGAACAACTAAATATACCATCTATATGGAATAAGGTTGACGTAAATGGGGCTTGAAAAAAGTGCCGTCTAGTTGTCCACGACAGCTAGTGGAGTTTCCTACCAGGCAAGTAACTTTTCCTTCACACTTGCCTGAAGAGCAAACACCCAGGCAGGTCATCTGCCAACTTAATTCATTGTTAAAAATGGTAAATTAAGACTTCCCTAGGGCAAGGAAAGTTTCGAGAGCTACGAGCTGCTCGTCCTAATGGCTGTGTACACACTGGTGACTTTTCAAGAAATTCTATTTTTTTGGTTCTAGGTTGCATGAAGTGACATCCAGCAAGATTGTTTTTATCAAGAGTAAAGACCATCTGGCAGAGTACATTCCTCTTAACGTTTTACCAAATTCTCTTTTCTAAATAATTGGCACTTCATTTAATATCCTTTCTCTGCCATCTGTAGTTTCAATACATGATGCTCAGTTGAACTGAAATTTATTGTACATGTAAAATTCACAATATGATAATTAAGCCTGCTATACAATATTATTGGAAGTATTCTTAACGCATACCAACAGGATCTTATTGTATTAATAGGTTATACTATTAAGACATTGATATTTAGTGATTTCTCTTACACAAGCATGGTAAATGAAATCCATTAACCTGTGAGTTAACCTGTGTAAACTATAGTGACAATTACCTTCTAAGAAGAAATAGGCAAATAGCAGTATTGGAAGTGTTTCATAAATTTTGGTTTTAATATCATTATAATTTTACGTGTTAATAAAATGCATCTTTCCAGTTTATTTGCACAATTTAAATACAGACATTATTTAGTAAATTTGCAAGGGCTTTAGTTTGAAGTCTGTGGTCTGCCTTTAACAGCAACTGAAGTTACTGGTAAGAAAGCTACAATAGTATATATTTAAAAAAGGGAGTCTTGTCAGTGTTTAGTGGGAAATTCTAATGGATTTATGTAAGAAGACAAAATTTTAAATAAGCTGCTTTTTCTCCAACCTTTATGCATCATTATAGAATCTTAACTGATTCTTGAAATCAGCACATTAACTCTAGTGAAAACAGGTATTGATGGACATTCCATCGTAATGAAATGCAGTTTTACGTCACTCTACTTTTAAAGAAACTTTTTTATTTATCAGTTTTTCACTCTATTTTCAACTATTAAAAATGTAGCAGAATTAAGGGCTGTGCTCAAGTAGTGCCCGGTGACGCCTGGCAGCTAACTTTTGCTCTTGTTCAATGAGGAAATCCTTAGCTTTTTCAAATAAATCCTATCCTGGACACCCTGGATTTCTCAGCTTTAGAGCACACGGCTACTTCAATTTTTCTTAGAGTACAGCCTTGGAATTGCTGCACTTAATCAATTAGACATGAAACATACAAAGTCAACACCGAGTGCACCTTTTAGCCAATTTCTTAATAAACGTTTTCATCTACTTATTTAATTATTTGTTCATTTATTTATCTATTAGTTGCGAAAATGTGTGTATAGTGAACTGTATACGTAGGTGCTTAGCACACAGTAAAAATAAATCCTCCTTTGAGAGCCATACTTGCTGAGATATGAAATCATTGCAAAGACTAATATGAAGTAATTACAAATCATAGGCAAATAAAGATCTTTGAAACACTCTATAAACATCCCACCAACACTGGTTATAGGCACAGGGTGGATGACCAGCTTGACCAACACTCACAGTTTTATTTAACCACTCAGGAGGAAGTGCAACCTTTCAGATATCATGCTCACTTCTGAGAAGGAAATCAGGGAACTAAATTTACAAAAAACACAAAATTTTAGGTTTCACAATGTAAGATAAGAAAACATAAGATAATTTATTTCACATCAAATACACAGGAAGTGGTTACTCAGTCTCCCGAGCAGGAGACTCGTGTGAAGTGTGTTTGACAGTTATTAAAAAGAAAAAAAAAAAGTTAGTATACACACACAAGGTTTATTCTACAAAGATGGATCTTACTTTCTTTGATAAATTCAATGTAAAAGGGGTTAATACAGAGGAAGTAGCAAAACTAGAAAATTGTTTTCAAATTTTTAAGTGATCTATGCTAGTGTTGCAACATTTCAGAAATGTATACACTAAACATCTCACATTAAAATATCATGTTTTAACAAACATTCTAAAATATTCTAACATCTATATTTCCTGTTTATCTAAATCTACAATATATTAGTAAACACGTTCATTGCTGTTGTGAACAGCAAGTATAGTGCTTACTAAAATCCCAGTCTCATTGCTTTACAAAATTTAATCAGGTCTTTTCACTACTTAAAAGACAAGAAACCTAACCTGTCAACCTCTTTTTTGAGGTGGTGGGTTCTTGTAATGACATGAATATTTTTGTTTTGTAGGAAGGGTAAGATGGATTTAAATCCTTTATAGTAGTATTTTTTTCACTCCAACATGGTTTACAACTTAATTAACAAAACCTCACAAATTAAGTCAGCTGGTTCTATGTTTTAATCCATGGATGACCTATTGAGTGCAATCAAACAGTCTTACAGTGCGATTGGGAAAACCGTGAATACTTGAAATATCTCAGGAATGTTTACTGTGTTATGACTAATCGCAGCAAATATCAGGAAATGTGAACCAGCCACAAAAACCCCAAAATAATTAACGTTCTTCCATGCCGTTAAGTTTTCATGCAACACAATAACATTCCAGAAATATCTCTGGTGTTCCTGGTTTTCCCAGTTTGACTGTAACACTGCAGTTTCCATGTATGGGTCAATGAAATTTCTCAGTTTTTAAAGTGTTCACACTGAATTCACCATCTACTATAGGATGTACAGTCCCATTTAAAATAGGAGTTGTCACAAACTCAACAAAACAAGTTTCAGGAGATTCACAGGGAGCACCATCCAACTCCAATAACACAACACTGGCAGTTTTCTGCTTGAGTGATATCACATTTGCTGGTACAAACAATGTGACTTGTGGACCAATCACGGGCCAGTAACGTCCCAAATTAAAGCCATTTACAAACGCTTGCCCTTTACTCCATCCAGGCAGGTGAAGAAATGTGTCATATGAGGAATTTACAAAGAATTCCCCATGAAAAAATGTAGGTGCAAAGCTGTTAGTAAATAACCCCTTTTGGTGTTGCTCAATGTTAAGATAGCCATCTGTAGCTGAAAAGAGACTATCTAAGTTTATAGGATATATCTTCCAATTGATCAGAACTGCACCATTTATTGTAACATTACCAACGATCCCTTTAGGCTCAGCGTAACCTTGATTGGCTCTTCCCATATTTTCCACCAAAATATCAAGCTGCAACTCATTCTGAATGATGAGAGATGCAGTCTGATCTTTAGGATCACGGTACATTGTAGCTTGACGAATTTTTCCCACATACACAATGGCTCGGTCACGTGCTAAGCTAGTGATATTCAAGACAACTGTTGACTGAGCAAACTCTGCAGGAATTTGTGTTTGGTAAAGAATGAATCCATAGCTTTGTCCAATTTGTTCCATGGTTAAAGGAAAGGTTGAATTTACAGGGCCTTGGGGAGCAGAAAGATTTGGCACAGCATCAAGAAAGGTTGAAAGTTGTGTCATTTGAACTTTACCATATGCAAACTTTGTAGTGTTTGGTGGGATGGGAATCTCAGGTATCTTCTCGTACTTGGCAATTGTCTCTCGCAGGACATGAAATTTTGTAGTTGTATCACCAGCTTCTGTCAAAGGTGCATCATAATCATAACTCGTAATGCTCGTCAGTAAAGTTTGATGGTATCTTCCACCATTCATGAAACCAAAGTTAGTACCTCCCATGTACATGTAAAAGACTACAGATACATTCATTGCCAGCATTTTGTCAAAAGTCTGATCAACTTTCTGTGCAGATCTGGTTTGGTGAGGTACACTCCAGTGATCCAACCACCCTGGGTAATACTCAGTGACTACCAAAGGTCCCCTGGGGGCAAACTTCCGCTTTGCTGCAGATGCCCTATCTAAATTACTTCCAGCGCCAATGTCCAAAGTGGGATACAGGGAAGGGATAGTACCACACTTTAATAAAGACTCACGGGCGCCATTGTTTGAAAAAAGAATAACATTACTACCAAGGTATTTACGAAACAACTCTTCAAGAAACTTCAAATAGTTCAGATCACATGCCCTGTAATACCCATACTCATTTTCAACTTGGACTGATATGATTGGTCCCCCATTTGAGTACAGCAATGGCTTCATCATGGGCAATAGCACGCTCAGCCAGGACTCTGCATACGATAGGTATTGCTTGTTGTCCATGGTTCTTAAGGAAATCGATGAGTTCTTCATCAATAACCATGATGGATACCCGCCATTTTCCCACTCAGCGCAAATATAAGGTCCGGGTCTGAGAATCACTAGAAGTCCAATGCTGTTAGCGAGTTCTATAAAGCTCACAAGATCTGCATCGCCTTTGAAGTTGTACTGGCCATGAACTGGTTCGTGAATATTCCAAGCAACGTAAGTTTGGACTGAGTTTAAACCGCCTGCTTTCATTTTCATGAGCCTGTCTTTCCAGTACACGCGAGGAACCCTGAAATAGTGAAAGCACCCAGCGATGTAACGAAAGGGTTTACCATCTTTGAGAAAGCAGTTGTTCTCGTAATCTATAACAAAAGATCTTGACTCGGAGTACCGGAGAGCACACAAGAAAATTAACACAACAATCAGCAGTCCCGACACTGTAGCCATCTTGCTGAGCTCTTTGCGTGTTCTAAAACACAATCATTTTGTTCCTCTAATATATGCATAATTTCCGACACTCAATAATGTCACGAGTCGGTCACATGAGTTGTACACCCGCCAAAGCGTGTTGATTCTCAGTTTTGTTCTACGAGCCCCATCTCATGCCCTCCGGAAATCTCGTCGATTCAGTCATAACACTATGAAACATGGTATCTCACGTTCGCAGTAGCCTCTAACCCAGGCCTGTTATCGTCCATTTTAACACCTATACTGACGTGCCCCCGGTCACGCCTTAGACACGCCCACCTCAACGGCCCTGTCAGATAAGGGGTTCTTTTACCGTTTTTTCATCAGGGAAGAGAGGCTAGCGGGGCCGGGGGCTGGTAGGGCAAAGAAATCCCTGACCCAATGAAAGTCGTTTGAAGCGAGTGTACGTGAATAATCAAAATACCTCTTGAGTTCTGCCTTTTAGTCAAAATGACACACCTTGCATCTTTCTCTGGTGGTGTTTAACAAATAAAAAAACTAAGAAAAGCGGGTCACCAAAATACTCCATATACGTTTGGGGTATCTGTAAAATGAATGAAAATTTAAAGGTTCAAAGTTTCACTAGCGAGCATGCCCCATGACACTCCTACTTTATTATCCTTTTCAGCAAAAACTTCAATCAGTGGTAAAGTCAACAACTGTTCTTGATGGCCTCTAATTGTCTATTTTTAAAATAATAAATAACTGGGATGATAACACTGTTGGCAGAGGTTTCTTTCCAGCATAATTTTTGACATCTGCATATTCATTCAAGCCATTGATATTCCTGTAGTTGGCTTGTTCATGTTCCTGTAAACAAGCCAACTACACGAATATTGACCTGACGTTTTCACTTTCTTCTTAAAATATAAAAAAAGGTCATCACAACATAACATCAAAGATATTTAGGACTAAATAGTGGGATCACTTTATATCACAGGAATGCCCTTCAAATCCCACCAGCCTTCCTCCTCCACTACCCCATAAAAGTAATCATACATAGCAAAGCTGTGTTTACACACTAAGCATTTTTTCTTGCCCGGAAAAATTTGTCAAGAAAACTTGCTTGATTGAATAGGGCTTTCGTAGAAATTGAGATACTGAACATTTTTATTTGTAACCTTTTATCGGATGTTCAACAGTATTCATCGTGGTAAAATGCTGCGTATCCTCAAGGCATATGGCATATCTGATGAACATGTGAACACAATTGTTAATATGTATGAGAACACTCAGGCACATGTCTTGTCGCCAGATGGAGAAACAGATGGGTTTGAAATCATAGCGGAGGTTTTTCAGGGGAACACTCTTGCCCTATACCTCTTTACAATAATGTCCTTGACCATGCAATGAGGCAAAGATTAAAAGCCGGCAATCCTGCCAGCTTTACAGTTGAACCAAGAGAGAGCAGATGACACCCACCAATCACAGTTAGCGATATAGACTTTGCTGATGACATTAAGCGTTGATGCTCAATGACCTCAGCCAGATTGATGAAACACATAGTGCTATTAAGTGTAGAGAATGCAGCTACAAATGTCGGACTACATCTAAATGCAGTTAAAACTTATGCAATCGTTTACAATCAAGATCCAGCAGTATATAATGACAGTAAATAATTTATTAAAACCAAAAGCAATGACTCAATAAGAACAGTGACCGATTTAAATATTTCTAGGTTTTTGGATTGATGATCCTGTCTAAGACATGACCACGAGAAAAGCCCAACCACCCCACATGATCACGTATGCTTGTAAGAATTGCCCGAATGTCACAAAAGTTCAGTTTTTGGTAGCTCTGACCAAGTGTCCTGACAGATTATAGCAGTTGACTTAATTACAAAAAAGACAGCTGTACTAGAATCTATAGGCAAAAGAGTGGATTGTAACATTGATGCAAAATGTTCTATATACAAAGTTTTAACAGTTCCAAGCACTCTTTCAGCAATCTACAAGATTATTGTAAGTTGTCTATTTGCTTAAGTTATAGCTATAAAGGAAATAACTTTATCTAATTATTTTAATCAGTTCAGTTTCAGCTTATATTTTTGACTATTTTTCCCATAGACAACCTCCTCCCAAAAGCGATCACTTTGTCGTGCAGCAAGGGTAGCCGCTTATGAGAGAGTTAACTGTATGTTATTCTACCAACTGTTAATAACACTAAATTAGAGTAATGATGATGAAGATAACAATGATGATGATGATGATGTTTGCATAATACAAACAGAACAAAAAGAAACTAAAAATATTGCCAAAACAGTTTTTCAATATCATGCTAACATAGTTTAGAGAAAATCAGGAAAAAGAAAAAGTAAAAAAAAATTCTTCAGTATGGTACAATCTTTATGTGGAAATTTAAAAAGTTTCAATGAAATCTACCATCTTTTATAGTGTTCACACTGAATTCACCATCTATAGGATGTACAATCCCATTTAAAATAGGAGTTGTCACAAACTCAACAAAACAAGTTTCAGGATATTCACAAGGAGCACCATCCAACTCCAATATCACAACACTGGCAGTTTTCTGCTTGAGGGATATCACATTTGCTGGTACAAACAATGTGACTTGTGGACCAATCACAGGCCAGTAACGACCCAAATTAAAGCCATTTACAAACGCTTGCCCTTTACTCCATCCAGGCAGGTGAAGAAACGTGTCGTATGAGCTATTTACAGGAAATTCTCCATAGAACAAAGTTGGTGCAAAGCTATTATCTGTGGTAAATACCTCTCTTCTGTTTCTGACAGGCTTGGGAAGATAGCCAAGTGCATCTGAAGCTGAAAAGAGATTGTCTAAGTTTATAGGATATATCTTCCAGTTGACAAGAACTGCACCATTTATTGAAACATTGCCAATGATTCCTTTAGGGTCAGCATAACCACCATTGGCTCTTCCCATATTTTCCACCAAAATATCAAGTTGCAACTCATTCCCAATGATAAGAAATGCAGTCTGATCTTTACGGTTATAGTACATTGTAGCTTGGCGAATTTTTCCCACATACACAATGGCTCGGTCACGAGCTAAGTTTGTGATATTCAAGACAACAGTTGACCGAGCAAACTCCACAGGAATTTGTGTTCGGTAAAGAATGAATCCATAGCTTTGACCAATTTGTTCCATAGTCAAAGGAAAAGCTGAATACACAGGGCCATGGGGAGCAGAAAGCTTTGGTGCAGCATCAAGGAAGGTTGAAAGTTGGGTCATTTGAACTTTACCATAAGCAAACTTTGTGGTGTTTGGTGGGATGGGAATCTCGGGTATTTTCTCATACTTGGCAATTGTCTCTCGCAGGACATGAAATTTTGTAGTTGTATCCCCAGCTTCTGTCAAGGGTGCATCATAATCATAGCTTGTAATGCGCGGTGGTGACCCTCCACCATTCATGAAACCAAAGTTTGTTCCTCCCATGTACATGTAAAAGGCCACAGATACATTCATTGCCAGCATTTTGTCAAACGTCTCTGCGATAACCTCTGCAGATCTGATTTGGTGAGGTACACTCCACTTATCCATCATCCCTGGATAATACTCACTCACTACCAGGGGTCCCCTAGGTTTTAACTCCCGCACCAATGCAAATGCATTATCTAAATTGGTTCCAGATCCGAAGTCTAGAGTGGGATACAGAGAAGGGATAGTGCCGGTCTTGACTGCATACCCAACAGCTGCATTGTTTGAAAAAAGAATAACATCATTGCCAAGGTATTTACGAGACAACTCTTCAAGAAAATACAAATAACCAAGGTTTCTTTCATGCCTCCAGCCATACTCATTCTCCACTTGCACAGATATGATTGGTCCCCCATTAGAGTACAGCAATGGCTTCATTTTGAGGAAAAGCACCCTTAGCCAGGACTCTACATACGATAGGTATTGCTTATTGTCCATGGTTCTTAAAGAAATCGATGAGTTCTTCATCAACAACCATGACGGATAGCCGCCAAACTCCCACTCGGCACAAATATAAGGACCGGGTCTGAGAATCACCAACAGTCCAACGCTGTTAGCGAGTTCTATAAAACTCTCAAGATCTGCATCGCCTTCGAAGTTGTATTGGCCATGAACCGGTTCATGAATATTCCAAGCGACGTAAGTTTGGACTGAGTTTAAGCCGCCTGCTTTCATTTTCATGAGCCTGTCTTTCCAGTAGAAACGAGGAACCCTGAAATAGTGAAGGCATCCAGCGATGTATCGAAAGGGTTTACCATCTTTGAGAAAGCAGTTGTTCTCGTAATCTATAACAAAAGATCTTGACTCGGAGTACTTGAGAGCACACAAGAAAATTAACACAAAAATCAGCAGTCTCGACACTGTAGCCATTTTGCTGAGCTCTTTACGTGTGTTTTAAAACACATTCGTCTTGTCCATCCAAGATATGCGCGATTTCCGACATTTGATGAGCTCCTGCCGGCAATATTGAATGTATCACAAGGACGTCACATGAGTTGTATGACGCGCCAAATTGTATTGAAATATACTTCTCACCCGGAAAACCCACGCACAAAGTCAAATGAGCCTAAATGCATAAGAGAATACAGTGTATTTCCCTGGGCCATGCCAAGAATTTTGGGAAGTACCTCAATGCTAAGCTTTTGTGTGTGTTTTCCCCAGTGAGAATTATTAGATTTTCAGTTTTCTTTGTACAAGGGCCCCTTCTCATGCCCTCCGGAAATCTCGTTGATACCATCAAAACACTGTGAAACATGATCTATCACCTCCTCAAACCCAGTGCCTGCACAGGTAGCCCAAGCTCGAAATATGAGCATCGGCGAGCATCGGCATTGTTGCGTAACATTCAAAATATAAGGATTTGTATGGGAAAAAAACCTATCGTTTCTGTAACCTACGAAAATGAAAGGATTTCAAACCTTATATAAACCTTATATAAACACAGGAGCCGATTAATCGGCTCCTGATAAACCTTATATAGAGGGAGAAAACCGTTTACATAAAAACCCATAAGACGGCCATAATTCGGCCCGTGGAGTACACAGGAGAGACGTAACACACATTTTAAGTAAGGTAAGCTGTTTTTTATTGAAATCCTTTCATTTTCGTAGGTTACAGAAACGATAGGTTTTTATTTTCCCACACAAATCCTTATATTTTGAATGTTACGCAACAATGCCGATGCTCATATTTCGAGCTTCGGCTACCTGGGGTGCCTGTTATCACCCAATGATTACTGCCTGTTTGTACTTCGTTTACTGCTATTTCGAGAAACGTTGTCGGAAAAAGTGCACGCGACAATCCCGAAAGGTCACTGCTCTTCAAAGAAATTTGAAAGAATGGCACTAGAGATCATGGACGTATGTTTGCGACTGCTAAAGGAAAGCAACAAAAGGTAGATTCGACAGCTACAGTGTCAGGAACGCCGTATTGATCTTATCCCATATTACCTTTCGGGATTATCGCGTGCACATTTTTTCCGACAACCTTTCTCGAAATAGCTTTGACGAGCCCCCAGTCACGCCTCACACACGCCTACTTTACAAAATCACAAGTACACGATTGCATAACAATATCCGATGATGAGTAATCAATGTGCATTGTCACATCCCCTTTGTTTTGAAAGTTCATTGTTCTAGAATAAAAAGATCAAAATCGAAATGTGTTATCGCTGATTCTCAACTGCTGGCTACGTGTGTGTTTACATGACACCGGGGCGGCTTTCGCCCCGGAGCGAGTTCACTCCGGTTCCCTCTCATGGCACTATATTTGTTTACATGATACCACCACAAAATGTCATGCCGGCGCGAGTCACCCCGGCGTGAGTTTACCTTGGTTCTTCTACCGGGGCGAGAATTTCAGTCCGGTACGAAATCTCGCAACGGTATCATGTAACAGCTGATGTAAACGCGAAACGACCACCCGTTTCTGTGCGAAATCGGTCTGCAGACTGGAAGGGGTAGCGCATGCCTAGTGTTTGCAATTTTGAACCAAACGTGTGTTTTACCAACATGAAGTGTACCTTCAAATAACGAGATATTAAAACCGGTTACACTTCTGTACTTCTCATGATTTTCTCCGGAGAATGGATCAAGGTTTGAGGGATCAGAATACCGCCTTTTCCAAATATTTGAAGTCAAAATGACCCACCTTACATCTTTCTTCTGGTGGTGTTTAACAAAAAAAAAATTAAGAAAAGCGGGTCACCAAAAAATATTCCATATGAGTTTGGGGGATCTGTAAAAATGCAAATAGTCAGAGCCAGAATCAAGGCTTTGAAAATTTAAATATTTAAATCTTCACCAGGGAGCATGCCCCAAGACACTCCTACTTTATTATATATGTTATACTTTACAGCAAAAACTTCAATTCGTGACGTCGAAGTTTTTAAGAGAGCCATTCTGAATAGGACTATTGATGTGTTTCCTTATTTTTAAATGTTTTTTTTAATCGATCTCTTAGTCTTTAGTTACGTCTTCTCATCGGGAAATCGGAAATGAACAGCAAAAGATTTATATCTCGCCTCATTGATTATAGCCTGCGAGAGCACGAAAATACGTCTGCGGTTCGCTGGCTACATTGATCAGAAACTTATCTGATTTTTGTTTTGTCATCGACTGGGACATTTGACTTGATTTTTTATAACTCTATGTGATTTCTTGGAATTTTGAATTGCAGAGGGGTTTTGCCGGAATTTTGTACTGATATTGACGTTTTCTTTTTATGAAAGTATTTCACTAAAGTTTTGAAGGCAGCTTTTTATAAGATTTTATTATCATGATAATAATAAGTCAGTGGTAAAGTCAACTGTTCTTGATGGCCTCTAATTGTCTATTTTCAAAATAATAAACAACTGGGATGATAACACTGTTAGCAGAAGTTTATTTCCAGCATGGTTTTTAGCATGTGCAAAGTCATTCAAGCCATTGATATTCCTGTAGTTGGCATGTTCATGTTTCTGTAAACAAGCCACCTGACTTCTTGTTTTTCACTTTCTTTTAGAAAAAAAAGGTCATCAAAACATAACATGAAAAATATTTAGGACTAAAACACGGTGCAGCAAAACCTATGTCTGATTTATTTGTCCGGGGCAGGTAGAAATTTAGTCCAGACGTGTAAGCCTTTGACATGACTTGTCCGTGGGACAAGCACATTTTAATTTATTACTGTGAGTTTCACAGTAATAAATTTTATTGGATGTTTACACAAGTGACAGCGTGAATTCCACAATAATTGTGGAATTATTATTTTATACTACTAACTATACAAACTAACCATTACTGCAAAAGAATGTAAAGAAATATAAGACAAAACAAAATAGTTGAACAAATTCAAGAAATAGCATACAGCACAAGAATTTTCAAAACACAGCACATCCTCAGTAACATGATTTTTGAAAGTGATGCAAATAACAATAATAATATAAAGGACTTTAATAGATAACACAATTACTGGAAATTCCAGTAGTTTCCATTGTGGTCCAGATACAAATATAAAATATTAAAAAGTACAAAAAAACACAAACAAAAATGATAAAAACTTCAGAAAAGAGATAACAAATCAGTAATTTCTAATAATTTCTGCTAATAATAAAATGTTCATTTTCAAAATTACAGTCTAAAAAATGTTTATGTAATGTATTCATTTTTCAATTTGGCCAGAGCACTCAGACCCCTTATGCTATTCTACCAACTATTAAGAACACTAATTTAGAGTACAGATGATGATGATGTTAAGAAAATAATGATGATGATGATGATGATGATTCCAAAATACAACCAGAACAAAACACACCTGAAAATATTGCAAAAACAGTTTTTCAATATCATGCTAGCAGAGCTTAGCCTTAAATCAGGACAAAGAAAAGGAACGAGAAATCTCTTTGTCATGGATGGGATAAACTTTTCTACACAGAGTCAATAGACTAACCAAAACAATTTATTTTACAAAATTTCTTGTGTATAGTTCAATCTTTATGTGGAAATAAAGAAAAAGGTTTCAATGAAATTTACCATTTTTAATACTGTTCACACTGAATTCACCATCTATA